TAAAGAAGGCAATAAGAATACTAAGTTTTTCCATTGGCTTGCAAATGCTTATAGGAGAGGCAATCACATTAGGAGGATTACCATTGATGGGGGAGGGTCTGGTTAGGGAGGAGGATGGATGCAGGGGGATTCTCTCTTTTTATCATGGTTTGTTTACAGAGCCTTATTTATGGAGACCCCGGCTTGATGGTTTGCACTTTAACGCCGTTTCTAAAATTAGTAGGGTTGGTTTGGAGATTCCGTTTTCTAAAGAGGAAGTGTTGAAGACGCTAAGGAGTTGTAACGGGGACAAAGCTCTAGGCCGGATGGATTTACTATGAGATTTCTACTGGAGAGTTGGGATGTGGTTAGGGGAGAGGTGATGGCTACGTTTCATGCCTTCCATATTCAGGAGAGGTTTGAGAGTTCCTTGAATACATCGTTCATTGCACTTATTCCAAAGGAGGGAACTTCGGATGTTAAGGATTTTACACCTATTAGTTTGTTGGGCTACACCTATAAATTAATAGCTAAAGTTCTAGTATTGAGGTTGAGAATTGTTCTGGATGATATCATATCCGAGTCTCAAAACGCCTTTATTGGTGGGCGTCAGATTCTTGATTCAGCTCTTATCGTTAGTGAATGTGTGGACACGAGGTTGAGGAGTGGTGTCCCAGGGGTTCTTTATAAGCTTGATGTTGAGAAAGCTTATGATCATGTGAGTTCGAAGTTCTTGTTATACTTGATGGAGAGATTGGGTTTTGGGGATAAATGGAGGAGTTGGATTGAGGCCTGCATATCTTCAGCCAGATTTTCGGTGACGGTTAATGGGCCTCCAACCGGTTTCTTTGGTAGCTCGCGAGCTTTGCGCCAAGGGGATCCTTTGTCTCCTTTCTTGTTTATTATTGTTATGGAGGCTCTTAGTAGGTTGTTAGGGTTGGGGAGGGTGGTGGAGTTGGGTTTTATTAAGGGGTTCATGGTGGGTGGGGGTGATGCTCATCAAATGGAGATATTTCGTTTATTGTTTGCGGATAACACGTTGGTGTTTTGTGAGGCCGAGGTGTTCGAGATGAGGTACCTGAGATCGGTGCTAATTTGTTTTCAGGCGATTTCAGGCTTGAAAGTGAATGTAGGGAAGAGTGCCTTGATTCCAGTGGGGGAGGTGCAGAATATTGGTGAGTTAGCTTCTTTGCTTGGATGTGGAATCAGTAGCTTTCTGATTATATACTTGGGGCTACCTTTGGGAGTTTCTTCGAGGACTATGGGTGTTTGGGTTCCGGTGGTTGAGAGGGTTCAGAGGAGACTTGTAGGATGGACGAAGCAGAATTTATCGAAAGGTGGGAAGGTCAATCTTTTGAAAAGCACACTATCAAGCCTACCTACTTATTTTTTATCTCTCTTCCAGATTCTATCTGTGGTTGCTAGTTCGATTAAGAGGCTTCAGAGGAATTTTCTATAAGGTGGATTGCAAAGAGAATATAAGTATCATCTTGTTCGTTGGGAGCAGGTTTGTAGGCCGATTCAGGCCGAAGGCCTAGGGATAAGGAGGTTGGTGCCATTTAGTAAGGATCTCCTTGGTAAGTGGTTGTGGAGATTTGGAGTGGAACGTCATAAGTTGGAAATCCATTAAGAAATGATGGAATGAGTTCTCCAAACACATCAGATTCAGAGTTCAGGATGGTAGGGACGTGAGGTTTTGGAAGAATCTTTGGTGTGGTGATTATACCCTTGCTTGTTCATTTCCCAGATTGTTTAGGATTGCTGTTGATAGGCATGCCTCAGTTGCTGACTGCTATCGACTTGATAGCGGGAGGTTGACTTGGGATGTGCGGTTTGTGTGAGCGTTTCAGGATTGAGAGTTGGACGATATTTGCAAGTTGTTAGATCGTTTGAATCGGCATGAGACCAATGGAAGAGATAGAGATTCGCTAGCTTGGGTGCCTGCTTCTCAGGGAATGTTTGAAGTGAGATCATTTTTTCAAGACCTCTCAGATATTACGGGGATTGTGTTTCCGTGGAAACCAATGTGGAGATCTAAGATGCCACTCAAAGTGGCGTTCTTTACTTAGACAATGGTGTGGGGCAAGATCTTGACGCTTGATAATTTGAGGAGGTGAAGACAAATCACAGTTAACTGGTGTTGTATGTGCAAGTGCAATGGGGAATCGGTGGATCATCTTCTTTTGCATTGTCCAGTGGCTTTGGATTGTTGGTGTCTTTTGTTAGGAATGTTTGGGGTTTCGTGGGAAATGCCTCCATCTATGAGAGGATTGATGGAGGCTTGGAGACGGTGCTATGTGGGAGGTCAAGCTCGTGGGTTTTGGAGAATGGTGCCCTTGTGTTTATGGTGGTGTTTGTGGAGGGAGCGGAATAATAGATGCTTTGAAGGAAAGGAATCCTCGATTGTTGTTCTTAAGTCAGCTTTTATTCAGCTTTTATTACATCTTTATATTTTTGGGGTTCGGGTAGGCTTTGATCCTCCCCGGAGGAGATGATTGATTTTATTTCTTCTTTGGGGCCATAAGATCCCTTTGTTGTTTCTGGGACATGTTCCCCTTTTGAACCTTTTTTGAATGAATTTGTTTAATTATAAAAAATAAAAATAAAAAAGGTTTTGTTATAGAGTTTAGTGTTCTGGAATTCTTGTGTTGTGGGCCTTAGACATTTTGGGCAGCTTAGCGGGGCTTTTGAACTGGGTTCACGTAGTTCTTCAAGTGACATTTGGTCACATTTGTTTTTGATAAGTGGCATTTGATCACATAATGTGTCCAGCTCTCTTTCACTTTCCAAGTGGCATTTGATCACGTAATGTTGTTCTTATCTCTCTCTCTCTCTCTCTCTCTGCTGGTTTCTTTTGATTGTAACCATCAACAACAAATATTGTTGGGAATTATGTCCTAAATTCCAATCTAATTAGGTTTCTATTTTAGAATTGTATTTTGTTAGGAATTTCTTCTTGAAAGTCTTGGCTCCAAGAAATTGTAATCCTTGTCCAATAAGGAATTGGATTTAGGATTCTATACATAGGTACCTAGGTTATGAGTAGAGACCTATGAGATTGAAAGAGATACTCTACTGTTGTAACATATCTATGGAATCATAGTGAAATCTTCTCATCCGTGGACGTAGGTCGGTATTGGCCGAACCACGTTATATCTTGTCTTTGTGGCGATTGCTTTATTGGCTTCCATTGGATCTCCATGTTCGTACGCTTCCACTGCCTCCAACAGATACGGACTTTCTCAGTGCAGGGGACACATGCAAGCCCACAGGCAACAAATGGACAGCAGGTAGCCTACCCCGCAACAGCGTCTTCTTTGATATCTAAATTTCCAATGTCCTCATCAACTCCAGCAATGTCATACTGGGTTGCCAGCTAACCCACCACCATATCCAAATCCAATGGTAACATAATAGGTAAAATGCCACTGTCACATTTAAGGCTATTCTTGCTTCACGTTTTATATAGTTTCCTTTTTCTTTTCTTTTTCCTTTTTACGTGTCAAAATCGACAATTTATTTTACGGTAACGGCAAGTTAATAACGCGGCCTAGCGAGCAATCATCGTACGAAAACGAACCAACTACACCTTCGTTCTTTGTTATAACCTAGGGAGTTATTTGCAACAGTGGGAGTTTTCTACAATTTGTGAAAAGTTTAGGGGATTACTGCAATTAACTCTAAAATGTACTGAATGAGACTAATTATAATCATAAGCAGCGATCTAATTTGGAGCCGTAGGCGAAAAATAAAAAGTGACCTTTCAACAATATAAGTAAAAATAGTCGCAATTCACAAACAAATTATACAAATATATGAAATATATATATATATAAATTTATAAAAACAAAAGTTAATTAAATTAAAAAATAATTAAAGAAAAAGAACAATGGAACCTTATTTAGAAAACCCCAATCCAATGCTCCTACAACTTCTTCAATATAATAAAAGTGTGTTCAAATTGAAAGTAATGAGTATTGAAAGAAGAAGAAAGAGAATTATAAACTTGTAATGAGAGAGGGAGGAGAAGACTTGTTGAAACTTGAAAGAGGAGAGAGTCGGTGAGGAATAAGAAAAAAAAAATATAGATAAAGATACAAGCTAGAAGAAGAATATGAATAAGTTTTCACCACTACCTCAAACAACATAAGGTTAAATACATTTTATAATATTTTAATGTTGGTGTAACTTATAAAGAAAAAATTTTAGTGCTGGTGTTATAAATGTGAATGAGAGAGAAAAAGAAAGAAGGGCGGAAAAAAAGAAGTTATTTAAGGATATAAATTTTTAGGCCGAATATTAAATTTCTGTATTGGTTAGGGTTTAATAAAAGGAAGGAGGAGAGAGAGAGAGAGAGAGAGAGAGAGAGAGAGAGAGAGAGAGAGAAGTCATTTAAGGATATAAATCTTGGGGCCCAATATTAAATGTGTATTGGTTAGAGTTCAATTGAAAAACAAAATGAGGGAGGAGAGAGAAAAAGAAAGAAAAAATATATTTTAGGATATATATCTTTGAGGCCTAATATTAAATTTTTATATGGATTAGGATTAAATAATATTAGGAAATAATTATAGTATAACCTGTATTAGGAAATTTTAAAATTTTGGGCCTTCCTATTGGCTGGGGCCTTAGGCGACCACCTAAGTCGCCCAAGGCTCCAGCCAACCCTGATCATAAGTTTATTTAGGCTTATTCAACTAACATAAATTTCAACCAACAGACAAGCATTTGCTCGTTGGGTTGGCTAAGTGAGGAAAATATATTGTAATCTCTGTGATCAAATTTTACAATGCTTAGAATTATATGAGAACATTGTTTCTTCCAAACAAACCAACTTTTTATTGTTGCAAGGACATGCTTATTCTACAAGTAATCAAACATGAGATTTCCTTATTATAAACTATTCAGGTAAGAATTAATGTTTGTTAAAATATTTTTTCTACATTATCATGGGTGTGGCAATACCATATCAGAAAGAGGGAAAAATTAACAATGACATTTATACTGGCTACGGTTCTCACCTTTGTCGGGCACCAACTGCACGACGATGAGGGGAGTGGCATGCCGAGATCCTGAAATTGAGACCTAAATGATGTTCTCTTTTCTGTGAAAAAGAAGAGATGGTGTAATCAGACAAGTGGAATATAATTCTTTTGTAAATATGCTTTTCTTTGTATCTCTGAAGCAAGGAAGACTTTTATTGAAGAAATATCAATAAATCACCTAACACTTCTGTTGCCAGCATGATCTCTTCACTTTCACTATTCATTATCATATAATGCCACAAGAAAATAAACATGAATTAGAGTACTCCAGCTTATTTAAAAAAAGATGAAACTCAAGAATGGGAAAAAAAAAATAGCATAAAATTTTCAGATTAATTAATTTAAGAAATTAAAATGCATCAAACCAGTCTATGTCACTCAAGTCTATGTCTTTGTCCTTCACAACAATCCCCGATTCTTGAAGCAGCGCTTTGATGTCTTTCACCACCTTTTCTTTTGACATCTGTAATGAAGGAAAAAAGAACTTCAGGGAAGTGTCATGTCAAAATCAAAATGACTCATAGAAATATAAGTTCTGATCTTGGGGGGGTGGGGTTTTTTTTTTTTTTTTTAGTTAGAAGAGGGAGGGGGGGGGGGGGGGGGGGGGTTTTGGTTAAGTACGGGAAAGTAACCACTTTCAACAAAAAAACCAACACTCAAAATTAGTAGTAAACATCCAGCTGGTCCAACCATAATGAGGGTTGAAGTGAACCCCAAGAAGCAATCACAAAGATCAAAAAACAAGTATACGAACAGCTTACATGATATCGTACAGACTGCCTATATGTTTCAATAGCATCACCAGCCCTATCAAAAACTTCAAGCAACAGCAGAGCCATTTTCATCACTTCCTTCTTATCCTTAAGACTATGAGTAGGCAACGGCAGAGACTTCTGCATCACTTCCTTCTTATTCTCAAGACTATGAGTAGAATTTTTAACATTGCACATTAATTCCACCTCCTCGTCAGTTAGTAATGCAATCTCTTTAAGGATGCATTGTCGGATCATCATGCCTCCTTCTACACCAGTACTATCTTTGCTCTGCAGCGTGCTCGGAGCCATAATCTTTTCTCGAGCCACCATCAGCAGAGCAGCCATTGGAATAAGTTCTCCCTCCATAGCATAATCATAAAATATATTACTGACATCCTTTGTGTTCCATGCAAGCAACCTATTGGTTTCTAATGGTACTTTCTGCACAAGCATTATTAAAATATCATAAGCAATCATTCATATACTCCCAATCACATGCATATATAAGCTAAAATATTCTTTCAAGACAAATTAAATCTGTAGCAAGAACAAACCATTTGTGGCAGGGAAAGAATAACAATCAACTTGAAAATAGACTGCTTTGGAGTCCAATCAGACAGGTATTGATGATAACTGCTCCAGCCAAACAAAAAGTACAATCAAGTAAGGAAAAAAGAAGTAGATATAGTGTGTGGACCAAATGGCTTATATTTCATGGGCTCTATCAAACAACTCAGAAATAAAAATAAAACATAACATCTACCTTAACATTTGCAGTGCTATATCAAGAGGCAGCAAGTCACCCTTGTATTCACCTTCTATGGTGCTGACATCAGTCCAAGCCCCGTGGCGAAGTAACAAGTCAATCATATCATATGAGAAATCTTCAGCGGCAATGTGCAATGGATATAATCCAACTTTAAAGGGGACATTAGGATCTACTATGAAAGGGTCTCCTTCAAGTAAAGCTTTGGTGCAATCTACTGCACCATATATACAGACCCAATCAAAAATATCGGGTGGACAATATGTAGCAAAAATAGTCTCTGGTGAATCTTTCAGCAATCGACTCTTTCTTGCTAATTGTTCTCCATATAGGGATTTCATTAGGGTAACAAATCCAGGCCTGTCATCCACGTTAACGACTTCTCTGATCTCAATTTCCAGCTCTAAATCCATATTTTCATCAAAACAAATATCTGGCAAATCCATCTGTCATTGTCAAGAGGTAGCATCAGTACACATGAGCATAGATAAACAAAGAAATAGAGGTTAGCAAAATTTTAAAAATAGAATTTGTAAGTACAAATACAACTTGAGACAAAATAAAGCAAAATGAAGCACGAGAATCATTTCAAAATAGCAGAAAAGATTATAAACAGTAATATATTACAAGTGAACAAAACGGAAGATGATAATGTAACAAGCAATGATGTGAAGTTCTAGAGCAAGACTCCACTTTATTTAAAAAAAAGATTGCAGCAAAGGCCAAATAAGTTATATGGTCAAGCTGTGAAAACAGCTCAATAAGTTATATAAACAAGCTGCAGAAATTTTTGATTGCAGCCGCATCGCTGGCATGTGAACCAAATGCATAGCTTAATTACATGATAAATAGATATAACATTTAAGATTGAATCCACACCTGAAGCATTTTGATCCGATTTGAATTTTTGCACTCAGCTCCTTGCACAACCATTTGGTATCAGGAAAACCTTCATACACGGACAGAAACAACATCCTCTGAGAAATTCTATAATAAAAAATTATGACACAATTGAGAGCCAAAAGGATTATATACTACAAGACTCAATTGTTTCCGGTGCACCCAAAAAAAAAAAAAAAAACCTTCTTCAGGCACTAAATACCAAACAAGAAAGACTGCAGTGCATACTAAAAAAGAGGTTCACATTTGATATGTATCAATAGACGATTGTGTTCTGACCTATTTTACATGGTATTAGTACATGATTTCAAAGGGACACAGCTAAATATTCATATAGTTTCACATCCTTCTATTTTTCAAGAGTAAAATAAAGTTTTTATGGAACAAAGAATGCTCGACATAGAATACTCACTCACTTTGAAACAAAAATGTATGCAAAAGGAACATAATAATACGATTTTATGTACAATCACATAATAAACTTGAATCATTGCAAATCCTTATTAGATACATGTCCATGTATCCACATGCGCATGCCTATATATTCATGATGCATATGCACACATAATTATATATCTATTCTCTATTTAAATGTTTGAAGCCCCATGATTATTTCTAACATTTAACAATTTATTTTAAAATTAAAATGCTTTATTTCCTCCATCATGATTGCCTTTGTCTTTGTGAATCATTGTTTTGTGTGCACTATGTTTTCTATTATATAAATTTTCATATGTGGACACAATGTCACAGGATTTTCAAGAAAAAAAAAAGTTAAGTGGGTTATCTTCGTTGCCCTTCATGCTTTAAGAGACATAAATTACACTTTTATCAGCTTTGTTGTGCTTCCAACTCCTTCTTCAACGCCTCACATAAATTACACCTGCGCTGGCCTCACATTAATTACACTTGCACGTCCTTTTCTTCGGCTAGCTCCGTACGGAAACAGCACAACAACGATTAGGTAACCAATTTAATGTCCTCATAAATGTATTTTCAAACTTTAAAAATATTGAATTCTTTTATAGACCAATTTAATGTCATCATCAATGTATTTTCAACTTTGAAAAATATTGAAGTGGTTTTATCAACATTTACAGAAAAAACACAAGTGATTAATCTGCCCAACCAAAATTTGGCAAGTCATTCAAGTTGGACAAAGGTATGTGTCCAAAAAAATATTGAACTGCTTTTATTTTTTGAATTAAATTTGTTATATGTGCATGCAAATCACATCTAAATTTAAAAAAACTAATTTCGCATTTGTAAATGTCGAAATTAATTTATATTGGGACTACCACAGATTGCAAGTGAAAGGTCCAATGACTTCTTCTTTACGGTAATTAATTATATACAGGCATAATAAATATATAGACAACGTGATACCAAAATTAAAACAAAAAACAAAAAATTAAATAATTGTACCACAAATAACTGAAACCAAGCAATAACTTGAAGGGGGGTTGCAATAGATATAAATGGAGAATAGATATACAGCAGATAAACATAGAAACTCAACTAAAATGTTTAATTAAAAAAATATATAGAAAAAAACAGCATAGCTACGAAACAACATAAACTAAAAACACAAGCAGGAACAAAAAAACAGAAAACAAAACAAAACAAAAACATAAAATCAAATAATAGTACCACAAATAACTCAAACCAAGCAATAATTTGAAGGGATTTGATATAAATATAAAGGGAGAACAGATCTACAGCAGATAAAACATACAAAATTCAACTAAAATCTTGAATTAATAAAAATATAAAAAAATAACATAGCAGGAACAAAAACAATAGTATTTTTGTCAACAAAGACACCTTTATCAAATGATAATACAAGCAGGAAGAAAAATATTGGTCATGTAATTGGCCAAGAAAAGTTAGAAAAATAATGTCATAAATCTATTTCCAAACTTCAAAAATATTAAATTGCTTTTATCAACCAATTTAATGTATCTCCAAACTTGAAAAATATTGAACCATTAACTCCACACACCCAGAAGTAAAAAAAAAAAAAAAAATGAAGATCATCATCATCCAACATAGAACTCAACAAACCCGGAACTAAAAAAAATTCTATTTCTAACATTTAACGATTTATTTGAAAATGAAAATTCCTTATTTCCTCGACGTGTTCCCAATACAAATATTACTGATTTATTTAAAAAATGCGCATGCACTGGAATTGTCACTGATTGGCTTTTTCCATTGTGCAGTTGTCACTGGTTGCTTGTTTTACTTCATGCTTCTCAGTAATTGGTTGTTATGATTTTTATTTTATTTTTTTAAATGCAAAATTGTGAATGATTGGGTGTGCATGAATCCCAGAAAAGTTGACCTGACCCATTTTTCTTTTCAGCAACCGTGTGGCAGGATTTCCGGAAAAAGAAAGTGAGTGGGTTGTCACCAGGTGAGAAGAAATGAAAAAATAAATAAATAAATAAAAACAATGAGATATATTTTCTCTATATGTGTAATATGTAGACACAATGTCAAGTTAGTGGGTTATCTTCGTTTGGCTTCATGCTTCAAGAGATATAAATTAAACTTATCCACTTTGTTGTGCTTAACTTCTTCCTTCATGGCCTAACATAAATTACACATGCGTCCGTAAGGAAACAGCACAACAACCATTAGGTAACTTTAACGTCCTCATAAATGTATTTTCAAACTTTTCAAAAAAAAAAAAAGAAAAAAAAAAAAGAAAGAAAGAATTCTTTTATCGACCAATTTAATGTCATAGTGAATGTAATATTTGTTGAATTGAATTTCTTATATTGCATGCAAATCACTTTTTACTCCGCGTTTGTAATAATGTCAAAATCAATTTATGTTGGGGCTACCACATTATGAAAGTGAAAGGTACAATGAATTCATCTTTATGTAAATACAGACATAATAAATATACAGACAACGCGACACAAAAAAATGAAAAAGTAAATAAATAATAAATAATAGTGCCACAAATAACTCAAACCAAGCAATAATTTGAAGGGAGTTGATATAGATAAAAAGGGAGAATAGATATACAGCAGATAAACATACAAAAATCAACTAAAATTTTGAATTAAAAAAAAATACAGAAAAACAACCTATCGACGAAACCACAAACTAAAAACACAAGCAGGAACAAAAACAATAGTATTTTAGTCAACAAAGACACATTTATCAAATGAAAACACAAGCAAGGACAAAAATATTGGTCATGTAATTGGCCAAAGAAAAGTTATAAAAATAATGAGTTTGTTGCAATATTTGGTGCATACTTCCAACCAAGTCCTGATTTTCATAAATCAGACAATGCCTCACTTGAGAGAAGAAATTCGAAAAGAGCCCAAAACATAGTATCCTCAAAATCAAACCAACAATTAAATCATGCCCAAAACATGTAAACCAACACCAACAGTCTCCCAAAAGACATCTGAAATGCTAATTGAAGAACATGAACATCCATTAACAAAAACCTAAAACTTGAAATAAATCTTACCGATTTTGGAAAGGATGATGAATCAGAAGTTGAGATGTTGGCTTGTTGTGGGTTAGTCGGTTGTACCCGAATGAGACAGATCTGCAATTTTGGTGTGAACTGTGAAGTTTAACTCGGGGTGTAGGCTGTGTAGCTAAGCCAGCGATGGCAAGGGAAGAGGAAGATTTCTTAGGCAGCGTGAGAGAGAGGACGGTGGAGGAAGGCGGTTCCACAGGGAGATTTTATCCCCGGTTGTGTTGTGAAACTGACAACCATACGGTGTTGATAGTGATATACAACTCTAGAAAAAGAGCTGTGGCGGGACGCCGAGAGTGAAATGGGAACTTAGGGTATGAATAATATATGTGTGCGTGTGTGGGCTGGGTTTTTTTTGTTTATGGGCCTCAGTTGGTCTAATCTAAACATTTAATGGACATACGTAATCCAATTGGGATTTTTTACTCTTTTTTTTTCAGTCCATGATATTTTACTTACTAAGACGAGCAAACTGCTGATTTAGGTTTTAAATATTTATGTTTTGATAAATAAAAAAAATGTTATTCTTATATGGTAGATGAAGATGCTTTGTAAAATTTCAATTTAAATAAGGTGGTTGATTGAATTATGAATTTAACTTTCTCTAATATTTGAAGTAGCATACAAATAATATTGTTGTTGATCGAATAAAAATTTGAAGTTATAGTTTCAATTAATTAAATACACAATGATACAAATATTTTATTATTAAAGGCATATTGTTTAGTTAATATCGATGGCATAAAAAAATGGACACCAACAATTAAATAAATACCCAAAAAATAGATATATGAATTTGATGTGAGAGCAAATAGATAAGAGAATCATCCTTCATGATCGTCACTTACTTTTAAGATTTTTAAACTAGCAATTTGAAATAAAATTGGCAACGTGGTAAAGAGTGGCAGCAAACAATCTCAAATTCAAGTAGGGTAATCTACACAAACTTTTATGATGGTTTGTCATAATTACGCGAATCCCTTTTATGGTTTGGTAATTTACTCGAACCTTTCTTGATAATGAAAATATTTTACACGGACATTCCTTATGTATGATGGACGGTCAAATACACTAACGGATCTGTCAAAATTACTAAAATACCCCACATTGTTATCTTAAATTACTAAAATATCCATAAACTTTTTATAAGAGTGACGTCATATCTATATACTATTCTAAAAGTGTAAGGAATTTCTTAACACTTTTAGATTTCTTAAAAATACAAAATAATTAAAAATAAAAATAAATGATATTAAAAGAGAGTAATTAATTTAAAATTTAAATTCACTTTAAATATGAAGAGAATATTTAATATAGAACTTGAAGGACCAAACCAAATTTGAATTTTTTTTGGTATTTTGTTTTCTTGTTTTATAATGACATAGTTTATCACTTTTAGATTTCTTAAAAATATATTAAAATCTAAAAGTGTAAGGAATTTCTTAACACTTTTAGATTTCTTAAAAATACAAAATAATTAAAAATAAAAATAAATGATATTAAAAGATATATTAAAAGAGAGTAATTTTTTTAAAATTTAAATTCACTTTAAATATGAAGAGAATATTTAATATATAAGTTGAAGGACCAAACCAAATTTGACTTTTTTTTGGTATTTTGTTTTCTTGTTTTATACTGATGTAGTTTATCACTTTTAGATTTCTTAAAAATACAAAATAATAAATAAAAAAAATGATATTAAAAGAGATATTAAAAGAGAGTAATTAATTTAAAATTTAAATTCACTTTAAATATGAAGAGAATATTTAATATAGAAGTTGAAGGACCAAACCAAATTTGACTTTTTTTTGGTATTTTGTTTTCTTGTTTTATATTGACGTAGTTTATTTAGTCTCTTGTGATTTCAATTTTTAAAAAATTAAAAAATATATGAAATTGGGAAAATAGTATTTAATATAGAATTTGAAGGGGCAACCTTCCCAATTTCAGTTTTTATTCATTCTTTAAACATGATACACCAATGGACCATTTTAATCATTGTACTAATTGTTGTTTCACTATTCAAATTTTAGTTATATTTGAAAATTTAATTAATTTCAGTTTTTATTCATTCTTGAAAGAAGATATCCCTTAATGGGTGGACCAAACCAAATTGCACTTTTTTTTTTTGGTATTTTGTTTTCTTGTTTTATACTGACGAAGTTTATTTAGTCTCTTGTGATTCCAATTTTTTAAAAATAAAAAAATATATGAAATTGGAAAAATAGTATTTAATATAGAATTTGAAGGGACAACCTTCCCAATTTCAGTTTTTATTCATTCTTTAAAGATGATACACCAATGGACCATTTTAATCATTGTACTAATTGTTGCTTCACTATTCAAATTTCAGTTATATTTGAAAATTTAATTAATTTTATGATTGTATGTTCATTTCTAACTCATGCAATCTGCATTGCAAACCTTCGTACTGTTATTCATGGTTTATTTCCTTCCAAAGAGCTCGAAAAGGTTAGTTTCTTTTGCTTCTATGTTGATACAATAATTTTTATTCAAAAAAAAAAAAAAAGAAGGTATTTTGTTGTTAATATTCTTTAATTTCCAAATTTTATTTGTTAAAAACCTCAACCTCTTAGATTTGGCTGTGTTGCAACAATTACAATATTGCCTTTGACATTTTGCTATCAAGGTAAATTTTCCTTTTGATTTTCGTTGATTTGTAATATAGATTTTCATTGAACTGTGTTATAAAGTTGTTGAGTTATTATGTATGTTTGTTTCCTTTGTATACGTTTGTTTGCCGAGAATAAACAAGGTAAAAAGTTCAAAAACTAACACAAGATTTGATTTTTTTTTTTTTTTTCCCTTTTATAATCGTGCTCCAATGATCGCTTGTGACATTTTCCTATCAGGGTAACTTTTTTCCCTGGTAAACGTGAATAACTGTTGCCACAATAATTACAATATTGCTTTTGACATTTTGTTCATTTCCATTCTTTACTTGTTTGGCGAGACTATCTACAAAAAAGATTTTACTCGTGGTGTATGCTTGTTTTCATTCTTTGCTTGTTTGGTGAGAATATCTGCAAAAAAAATTCACTCGTGGCTGTAATATTCGGTTTTTATTTTTTTCACTTATGTTTTTTTTCTCAATCTTCCATCTTTTTTTCACCTTTTTTATAAAAAGAATGTAATTATTACTTATTCCTAAACGTTTCCTTTTCATGGAAGACGTTAATTAAGAGTTTTTATAGTCCAAATTAAATTATCTATAAATATAAACGAGTATAAACTTTTTTTATTGTTTTTATACATTTTTCACCTTTTTAAAAAAGAGTTTGTATATATTTTGGACTCTTTAGAAACCTCTAAAAATGATAATTATAAATAAGACAATAAAAACGTAATAGTAATAATTATAAATAGGTTTTTATGAATTTTGGACTCTATGTTTCTTTAAAAAAAAAAAAATTTAAATTTAGGTTTCTAATTTATTATTTGTTTCTATTCATTTTTTTTTTTTTTTTTGGGGGGGACTCTTTAGTTATTTATTATTTTAAAAAAAATAGTTTGTATAAATTTTGAAATCTTTAGTTATTTATTATTGTTTTTATCCTTCCATCTTTTTCACCTTTTTTTATAAAAGAATGTAATTATTACCTATTCCTAAACGTTTCCTTTTCATGGAAGACGTTAATTAATAGTTTTTATGGTCCGAATTAAATTATCTATAAATATAATCGACGTATAGACTTTTTTTATTTATTGTTTTTATATATTTTTCACCTTTTTAAAAAAGAGTTTGTATATATTTTGGACTCTTTAGAAACCTCTAAAAATGATAATTATAAATAAGTTTCTATGATTTTTAGCCTCTACATTTCTGCTTGAAAAAAACTAAATTTATATTTCTAATTTATTATTTGTAGTTTTTATAAATTTTGGACTCTTTAGTACTATTTACTATTTTCTAAAAAGAGTTTTTATAAAACTATTTGGACTCTACGTTCCTTTTTCAAAAATTCTGTATTTACCTTTCTAATTTTATTATTTGAAAAGAGTTTCTATAAATTTTGGACTCTTTAGTTATTTAATATTTATTGAAAAGATTTTCTATAAATTCTAGACTCTTTAATTATTTATTATTTTTTTCAAAGAGTTTTTATCAATTTTGGACTCTTTAGAAACCTATAACAATCAAAACATAATAGTAATAATTATAAATAAGTTTTTATGAATTTTGGCCTCTATGTTTTTTTTCTTTTTCTTTTTTAAATTAAATTTAGGTTTCTAATTTATTATTTGTTTCTATTCCCTCCTTCTTTCTTTTTTTTTTTTTTTTTTTTTTTTTTTTTTTTTTTTTTTGGGACTCTTTAGTTATTTATTATTTTTTTAAAAATAGTTTGTATAAATTTTGAAATCTTTAGTTATTTATTATTGTTTTTATCATATTTTGACTTTCTATTAATTGTAAATAAATAGTTATTTGGACATCCTTCAAGTAAAGTTGCCAACAAAATAATAATTGTATTTGGAAACTACTAAAAATATCTGGTTTTTTCTATTTACTGAGAACTCCTGCGCAAAAAATGGGATTTTTTATTTTTTATTTGGAATATTGTGGATTGGGCATGGAATATTGTGAATTTTTTTATAAGGAAATTGGTTGTTTTTTTTTTTATAAGAAGTGGGGAGACAAAAATGTTTTTTTTTTTTTTTTTTCTTGGAATATTGATTAGGGTATGTGTGTTTAACCTTTGGAAAAATGTTTGAATTCAAAATTGTTAAAAATGTAGAGAAATAATGAAAAAAACATGCACTGATTAATCCTATATGACTATTAGATTTTTTTTTAACTTTTATATGTAGAGAGATGACTCATTTAACTATTTAATTACATGTGACTATTGGATTTTTTAAAATTCTATATATAAAGAGAGGACTTATTTAACTCACGTGACAATTGAATTTTTTAAAACTTTTATATATGGAGAGATGACTCATTTAATCATATGTGGCTATTAGAATTCTAAGTAATATATATATAAGTTTATGATATAATGTAAAGTATTTAATGAAAACTATTTTGTATTTTATCATCTTAAATGAGTTTCTATAAATTCTTCTATTAGTTAAAAATAAATAGTTATTTGGACTCATATATTTATATATTATTTTTTTCTAAAATATATAAAATTTGGACACTGTTGAATCCTACAATAATCAAAACATTATTTATTTTGAGTTATTTACGTCCCTTTTCCTCAATTCTAAATTTACCTTTATAACATCTATTTATATCTATCTATATCTATACTATTCCTAAAAGTGTAAGGAATTTCTTAACACTTTTAGA